ATAGAGGCTGTGATTAACAAGTGTGCAACAGGTTCAATTTAGGAAATATATTAATAGACAATCAGACTGACGATGATACTGACGATGATACTAACGATACTAATATTGGTACTAATGATGTTGTTTGTGATGATGATGATGATAATGTTGGTGCTGGTGGCGGATTTGGCAATGAGCAGTATGATAATGATGCTGCAGCTGCTGCTGCTGATGGCGGTGGTTGGGATGATACCGGTGATAATGACAGTGAGGTGATGATATTGATGATGGTGATGGTGATGGTGATGATTTCGGTGCTGATGATGATGATTATGATGATGACGATGCTGATAATGATTGTGATGTTGCTAGTGGAGGATTTGGCGATGAGGAATATGATACTAGTGACGCTGCTGATGGTGTCTATGGTGATGCGGTTTAAAGCAATAATAATGATGATGAAGATAATGCCAAAGATGCATATTATGGTAGTGATGAGGATGATGGGGGATGATGATTATTTTGGTGATAATGACAGTAAGGTGATGATATTAATGATAGTGATGGTGATGGTGGTGATGGTGGTGATGGTGATGATTATGATGATGACGATGCTGATAACAATTGTGATGGTGCTGGTGACGGATTGGACGATGAGGAATATGATGCTGGTGACGCTGCTGATGCTTATGGTGTCGATGGTGATGCGGTTTAAAGCAATATTAATGATGATGACGATGATGCCAAAGATGCATATTATGGTAGTGATAAAGATGATGGGGATGATGATTATTTTGGTGCTGGTGGGGGATTTGGTGATGAGGAAGTTGATGCTGATGATGCTGATAATTTCAAATCTGTACTGTGTTTACATGTTTAATGTTATGCTATATTAATTCTTTGAAAGTAGTTACTCGTTCGTCAGTTGCGATATTAGGTCAGGCTTATCTCATTTCACATGCTGAACTATGCAGGCAAACTATCTTCCTCCTGTTGAAAGGTACTTCAACATCACAAGATGCTGCTTCTTAGAGAGAGAGAGAGAATAAATCCAGGTCACTGTCCCTCTCTCTGTCTCTCGCTTAGCAGTCAAAGAAGAGGATCTTTCCTCTACGAAAAACGCAGTTTCGGATGCGCCGAGGTACAGTCCTTTGCGTCGTCCTAGCCGCCTCTGAGCAGGTACAGGCAGCCCTTGGCCTAACAATTCGTCTGTCCCGTTTCAGGTCATGTTGTCCCCCCAACTCGGGGGTGGAAAAAGACGACTACGAAAGAGAGTATTAGATGTAATTAGCTTTCGATAACATCGTTGCGAAGAGTAATCGGGTTTCGGTGTATCTCCTGACATAAAGTTGTTGGAAACACTTTCATTTGGTATAAAAGTGCAAGGAGAATAGATTCAAAGGCCAATCTCACCAGAAGACGACGGCGGATTCCTCTTGACCAGCTGTCGATTGGTTTTACGATTTCGGTGAAAATGTGCTGAGCTATCGTCCTTCGTATGATGGACATCATCGGAGTAGGGTATCACCATGACAACCACATTCAGGCCAATGAGATAATAAAACCTATCAGCTCATCCCTAAAATGCAGTATATATACTCTATATCTGAGTTCTTTGACGATATATAAAATTATTTGGTTAGTCCCAGTAATATGTCTACCTCGGGGCATGTGAGTGTGTCTGTCTGTGTATGTACTTGTGCTTGCGTGTGTTCGCATATATATTTTTAAATATATTTTAATAATCACAACGATTGCCCAAAGTCAGACATACGTCTGGTAATAGGTTATATTGTCCCGTTGACCTGAATGTGGTTGTCAGGGTGATGATGATGATGTCCATCATACGACGGACGATAGCTCAGCACGTTTTCACCAGAATCGAAGGAGGTTTCCATGGAAACAGGGTCAGCATGAATGTTCCAGTAAAGCCAATCGACAGCTGGTCAAGAGGAATGCGCCGTCGTTTTCTGGTGGAACCGAGCTTCGAATCTCTTAACCAAACACTTTCACTCAAAGTGGAAGTGGAAGTAAGCTGAGTAATAAGAATTCGGTCGGCCTAAGTCGTTTAAGGAGATTTAGAGAAGGACAGTTGATTTTCCTCACAAAGGGAGAGGATGGCCTTAGATTTCACATAGCCTTGCCTACCAAACGTCCATCTCATCCCAGCTGGAGGGGACTGTAACTTTAGCGAAGTTCGGTACCGAGTCGTAAATATTGTAAAATTCACCGACATTCTGAGGCCTACATATCTGATTTTGAGAGAAAGTTCAATCAACCGTTCTTAAATCACCTTGACGACAAGTTCTATCCAGAGGATAGTGCTGGCCGTCATAAGAGGCAACCGAAGCAACCGTTTTCGGGGACTCGTCGCTACGTGACTCTTACGAAGATGATTGCCTGTGCCTATTGTCTGAAAGCTGGGTTCATAGAACTCGATCAGGCTGAGGCTTTGTTTTCATTCCTTTTTTATGTGATTACGGAGCATCCAGGATCCTGAATGACCACTTTACAACTCCGCCACTTGGAGACAGAATGAATGGTTCTGATCACGAAGTTACTGCAGGCTTGGGCCGGCAGAGGGACATGGGGTTCTGGCCATGGGTCCAGCAACTCAGTGAACTGTCATTTGAGAAGATAACTACTTTAACTTGAAGAAGAGGCAAGGAAGTGTCTTCTGCTTGAGCGCCTTCCAGGAAGACACTCACTGGATGATTGTGCCTCTGTAACTTTGGTCTCAGCACCAAGCAGACAACAAAGGCAAAAACAGGACAGACGGACTCAAGATTGTCTGTAGAGCCGAAAGTGGACATCCCATTCTGACTAAGGAATGCTAGCCATTGGTCCGCGGAACGAATATTGTGTTCTAAGAATTGGTATATTCCCAGTCGCTCA